GAATGGACAGATCTGAGGTGTTTTAGAGTTTTGGGGCTTGTTTCTGGTTCTGGGCTTTGTGCATTCTTCAATTTGATAAAATTAAACACATACACACACACACACAGTCACACACACACAAATACAGACAAAAAACAACCAGGCTGCAGCAAGGCCCAACTGTGACCTGCTGGCTTACATCTAGGCCACCACTCTCTGCTAGGGCCTCTGCAGCATGGCCACCACCAGGCGGTTCAGATGCTCCTGCAAGTGGAGCAGGGGGAAGGGACACCATTCCAGGTGCTCAGACTCATCCCCAAGCGCTCCTCCTGGATCCACTCTGAGTCCCTGAAGAGTCTGCAGCCACTTCACCTGGAGGGGTGGCTAGTGGGAGTGAAGTCTGTCCATGGAGGCAGAGAGTATATTCCACATGTTGTGTGTGCTGCAGAACCTGCTTCATGCCAGTCAGGAGGACTCTGAAAGCGAGGCTGAGATCTTGATATTTGGGCGGCCTTCTTGTCAAAAGGATGTTTCCAAGATGATCCGGACCTAGGCTTACTAACACAGCCCACTCAGGATGCAAAGCTGAGAGACAGAAACCCAGAGCTCCCCTGGCTGCTGTCTGGACAGCAGCAATCCAGAGAATTCCCAGACACTACCCAGCCAGGTTCCAAGATTATTAGGCATTTAAGGGCCCAAGAGTTGGAACCAGGCAAGGTTCAAGTGGCAACTCCTATGTAGAGCCCTATTGTTCTAGGTCCTGCTTTTGCATCCGAAGCTAGGGAAGGATGGTGCAGATTGTTCTGTTTTCCTCTCCTGAAATCTATCTCTATCAGGATCAGGTAGCTGGGATCTGGTAGTGATTTGAGATGTTTTTCTAAAGACTCGAAATTACTTTAGGGAAAGCATGGATCATTTATAATATATTTTAACTAAATAAATCATTCTGAATCAAGAGAAGTGACTGAAGAACTGGAGGAGAGGAATTTAAAGAAGGGGTAGTTGAGATGATGCTACTACCTAGGACAGTTCCTGCATCTGGTGTCCTGAGCCTTGTCACTTAAACTTCCATGTACTCCCTTAAATATATTTTCCATTTCATCTTGTAGTTTTTCTTTCACCCAGTTATGAAAGTTGAAATGTAGTAATTGTCTTTAATTCCTCTCAAATCATCATCATTCAAAACCAATCTTGTTTTAAGACCCGCAAACATTTGATTTTTTAAAATTTTATAATACTGCCTTTATTTTTATTTTCTTGTTGTTTGAATATAGTGGTACACCTTTCTCCTCCCCCCACCCCCATTTATTTCCCTCTGGCCTCTCCTAACCCCCAATATATGCCCTCACCAGCCCCCCGCCCCCCCCCCCACCACCACCACCACACCGGCCCAGTATCTTGTATCCATTGGTTATGCTTATATGGATGCATGCATGTCCTTAGGTTTATATCTTACAGCCCTCCACCCCAACCTCCACTGACTTTTCACTATAGTTTGATAGTCTGTTCAATGCTTCTTTTCCTCTGTATCTATTTCCCCCCATTTCTTTCCTTTAAAAAATCTTGCCTCTACAGACTAGAAATAAACATATAACAACAAAAAATGTTAGAATCCCAATTTCAATGTCCAACAGTTCTGAGTCCCTGTTTCAGGGTAAAACAGTTCCTTAAGTGTACACGTCAGCAATGATATGGGCACATGGTGGCAGTGCAGATGCTAGGCAGGTCCGACCCTCTCTGGTTTGGTCCTGGGCAACCTGCAGCCATGCACAGCTGCTGACTGCTAGCATGGAGAGGCATCATCAGTGTCTTTCATCTCTGGACTGTTTCTTCTCTTGTCTTCATACTTGGAGCAGACCTGGCAATTCCTTTCTGTTGCAGGAATCCACATGTTCTTAGAGTTGTTTTCTGAAAATATGCAAACATATTCTCGCCAAAAGTCAATAAAGGAATTTTTTCTATATAATTGATTTGAAATATTTTTTTAATTTTGCCCAACTAATCTTTTTTGTCTTATTTAGACATCATGTGTGGTTTTCATGGGTGTCTTACTGTTAGCATTACAAATGAAAATTAATTTTGTAAAGTAAAAGTTTTCTAGATGTAATTTATTACAGGGTATTTTTTTCCTTACATGATATTACCATACTATCTCCACTTTTTTGATTAATGGAGGCTTTTGTAAATTTTATAATACAGTCTTAGTAACTTTAAATTTTAACGTTTTGAACAAAAATATTCCTGCTTGAGTTTCATTGCATGTTCAGTATTTTTACCATGAGATGAACTACCAATAGGAACATGTTTTTATCCAATACAATTAATTTTTCTTGAATATTCACTTATTTTAATTAGCCTGTTTAAATTAATCTTATAACTTGATTACTATTTTACTGTCAAATTTCATACTCTACTGACAATCTTAGTTTACCCTGTAAATATTAGTGGAAAAGATTATTTGAATTCTTGAGTAGGCCCTGAGCATTCCTAGTGCTAGGCTGGATTTAGATATAGGGCAACTTCTGTTGGCCAAATCTCTGTCTGTTACCTGGGTACAGATCTGAGGTGGGCCAAGTCTCTGTCACCTGTGTCCCAATCTGAGCTGGGCATGGGAAGCAAAGCTTCTATGGGGGCAGGAGACCTCCCTCTGAAGGGGTGAGGGTTCAGGCCCCTGCAAAGTTAGGAGGATGAGAGTCTGTGACCCACCTGTGTTGACCCCTAAGGTCTCTTCTGATGGCCCCTTTGGGATTGTGTCTGTCTTAGGTTGTTCCTTCCATGAGGAATCTTGTCATCTCTGGCTAACCACTCATCCTCCAGGGCCAAGCAGGGTGATGCGAGGTTCAGTTCTGTCTCCTTGGTAGCCTTATGCCCCCATGGCCTACAGACCCAACACCTGCCTTCGGATCCCTTTGCCTCTTTGCCTCATGGCGGGGCCCCAGCACTGATCACATATCTCAGGGAACTCGGGTTTATCCTTCAGGGAGGTGCCAGCTTACTCGATTGGGCAAGAGACAGATCCTTGGTACTAGCCACCACAAGGCTTCAAGTTAAGCATGAACAGAAAGCTCAGGCAACAGCTGAGGGCAATTGGATTGTGAGAAAAGGTCCCTCTTGGCAAAAAAGGCAAGAGAGGCCAATATAGAATGTTCAAGTGCCTTCCCAGTGCATTAATTCCTCCTGAAAGGGATTAAATTCCTTCATGTCCTTTTTTTAAATTGCTGCCAAACATTCAAAGAATTAGTTTTTTTTAAATATATTTTATTGATTTTATACAGAGAGGAAGGGAGAGAGATAGAGAGTTAGAAACATCGATGAGAGAGAGTTATCGATCAGCTGCCTCCCGCACACCCCCCATTGGGGATATGCCCGCAACCAAGGTACATGCCCTTGACCGGAATCGAACCCGGGACCCTTCAGTCCCCAAGCTGACGCTCTATCCATTGAGCCAAACCAGTCCCGGCTCAAAGAATTAGTTTTTAAGTTTGTTTGGGATAATTGTACATTTTGCTGTTGTAAAATATCTAAAATTATAATGACACTAGAGGCCCATTGCAGAAAGATTCCTGCAAGTACAGGGCTTCTAGGGAACTTCCTTCCCTCCACTGCCACCCCTCTCATCTCCCTCAGCGCTTTCCCTGCCACCTCTGCCTCCCACCTGCACTTTCTCCCCCAAAGGCTCTACTGCCCAGGGCTTTCCCTCCTGCCTTTCCCTCCCACTGCCTCCCCATGCTTTCCCTTCTCTCCTGCAGCCTCTACCCCCCACCCCAAGCTTTCCCTCTCACCATCACCTCTGCCCCATGCTCTCCTTTCTGCTGCACCCAGCACTTTTTCACCTGCAGCTGCTCCACATGGCCCCCAGGCTGCATATGCAAATTAATCACCACCTTTTTGGGGGTTAATTTGCATAGTCACTCAGATTGGCTGGTGTAATTGAGTAATGGTTAATTTGCATGTTCCTCTCTTTTTTAATGGTTATTTTTTTTAATTGATTTTTTTACAGAGAGGAAGAGAGAGGGATAGAGAGTTAGAAACATTGATGAGATAGAATCATCAATCAGCTGCCTCTTGCACACCCCCTACTGGGGATATATCCACAACAAAGGCACATGCCCTTGATAGGAATCAAACCTGGGACCTTTCAATCTGCAGGCTGATGCTCTATCCACTGAGCCAAACCAGTTTAGGCCATGTTTCTATTTTATTAGTGTAGATTGTAGAATAATATCATGTAAGGATATTTGTTTCTCTAGGCCATAGCAATCCAATTTCAAACTGGCTGTCAATTTCTTTTTGTACCTTTATATACACTTTGTTAGAGAGGCAAAAACACAAAGTACTTATTTTAGTTCAAGAAGCCAAATATATTGACTTTCAATTACAATCCTTATGACTTTTGAAGGAAAGTTCTCTTTGTTTTCTTTCAAAATAATTTTCAGGCTACAGAGTTTCACTTAAAAATCTTTGTCACATGAAACCATTTCTCTTAACATAATGGTGACCATTAGTATTGATTAGATTTGGTATTTTATTTTATTTTTTAATATATATTTTATTGATTTTTTACAGAGCTGGAAACATCAATGAGAGAGGAACATTGACCAGCTGCCTCCTGCACACCCCTTACCGGGGATGTACCCACAAACAATGTAAATGCCCTTGACATGAATTGAACCTGGGACCCTTCAGTCCACAGACACCAACGCTCTAGCCACTGAGCCAAACCGGTTTTGGCTGATATTTTATTTTTTTAATAATTCTTTTTAATTTTTATTTTTTACATATCTGTCCTTATTCCCCGATAAACCCCCACCACCCACTTATGCCCCACCCTCTTGTTGTCTGTGTCCGTTGATTAGGCTCATATGCATGCACACAAGTCTCTTGATTAGTCTCTTGACCTTTCCCCCACACTCCCCTTTGTGACTACAACTCCACTCAGTAAAAATGATTGTTATAATAATAAATGGCATAATCTAAGTCTTAGATTTTTATTTTTGACTTTGGTCATGATAATGACAATTTTATAACATACACTTATAATGTGCTGCTGCCTTCTTGGCATTAAATATATGCAGCTTTCCTCTTGCTTCATTTTCTTCCTCCCTTACATGCCAAAATCCACATTTAGGCCTGGTGTCACTAGGGCTGCTTCTGTGTGGAGACCTATCTCTATAGGAACTACTTTCCGTTTCATCAGTTCCATGAGAGGATGTGGACCTGGTATCTTCCGACAGCCCTTTAAAATTAGTTTTTTGTGGCCTTCCTTTGCGACTTTTCTTTTTACTTTTAGGTGATGAGGGCTCCAGTTCGTGTCCATTAAAACTTTCTTCTGAATCAGCTTCAGAGTTATGTGCAGTTTTTTTGTGTTTCCGGCAATAAACCATGTAAATTCCTTGTGAGGGTTTTTCTCGTATTTGAGCTTTATCATGCAATGCACAGTGGTAGTGGTATGTCCTGTGGCAAGTTTTCACATCACAACCAATTGTTGCTCCAGGACAATGGCACAAAGAACACATCAGCTTTGTGCTTCTTTTAATTTCCTTTTGGACATCTTCAATAGAAAATCCACCAAGACTCTCATTATCAGTGTGATACCAAAGCAGATGAAAAGAGCATGCACTTATGGTCTGCTGCCACCTTCTGGTTTTCAGATATTAGTAACTGTCCACATTCCTTGTCTCTATTTGACTTACAAAAGCCACATTTGCGCTGTCTTGTAGGCCCCTTTTTAGGTTCAACTGAGCTTGACATGATTTTTAAGTTGCCTTTAGAAAGGCACTTTATAAGCCCCAAGAAATGCGGCGGAGCCCAGAGGCGAACTGCGGGGGAGAAGCGCCAATGAGGGGGAAGAGAAAGAAGTCGGTCTCGGTTCTCCAGCAGCGCCTCAGAGACGGGCTCTGTCGCTGGAGGTTTTTTCCTTTCATTCGAGGAGATCAGCTCACAGAGTGTCCTTACATCGCTCCATGATAATGACAATTTTATAGCTTTTACTTTTGTGAAAGTAACAGGTACATACTTGGTACAATGTCACAATTATTAAAACAATTGATAATGAAAAACTGTGGGTCCCCTATTTGAAGGAAGCATGCAGGAGGCGATGTGCAGAAGTGAAATTCTTCCACTAGGCTTGTATGAGCCACTATTTCACCCTGGATTATGGACATGAGCTGCAGCCAACAGTCAGGCCTCCTGCCGATGATCCATGGACAGTCAAGGACCAAGGGCTGACAGCCACCAAGGACAGGTTCAGTCCTGAAGGTGTTTTTGCAATTAGGTCATCATTTGCTGGTTTTCTTGGGCAGCTTGTCCATGTGAATTGCTTTCTGCACAGCTTCGACTTTCCAGGTCCCTAAATCCAAAGCTCTGGACACGGAACCAGCAGCATTCAATGGTCCTGTAAAAAAAAACAATAAAATTTGAAATGCATGCCAAGAAAAGAAAACATGGATCCCTTGTCTTAACTTACAGGCTTGACCTAACTTTGACTCTGTTCAGCAGACTAACGTGCTTTCACCTGATCAGTTTTATGTGTTACCCGTTTACCTCTTACCAGGGAAGATAGGCATTCAGTTTTCTCACGTGGCTTCTTCTCTCAGCCTCCAAATACTTAACCCTCATCCCATTTTCTCAGCTTATAGCTGCACTATACTTGTGGATTCAAACACTTTTATTGTTTTCCTCCACGTACCCATAAGCAATTTACCACACACTCTTCATCTATTCAAACACATCAGGTGATGTGGCAGAGCTCCTTATCCCCTCATTCCTTGTTCCCTGGCTCCTCTGGGTTCTGTGGTTCTCTCTGCCTGGGGCACAGATCTTACCTGTGAAATTTTCCTTCACAGTGAAATCTGAGGGTACTTTCACTTATCCCCTCCATTACAACTTCTGTTCTCGGATTTGTTTCCTCCTCTCTCTAGTATATGCACTGCTTTTTTTGGAAAGCATACTTCTTTTTGAAAAAAAGTGGATGAAAGCTAAAGGCCATGTTGCCTGAAGATGTTATCTGTGCCACACACAATTCTATAGTTTTTCTGTGCATCAACTTTTGCTTGAAAATTCTGTACCCTCAGAAATTTGAATACATGGCTTTATTGTTTTCTAGCCTTGAGGATTGCTGTTGAGATTTTGGGCCATTTGATCCCAGCTCCTTTGTCTCTGATATTTTTCAAAAGAAGATTTTTAGTATCTTCTGTTTTTATTAGAGATTGGAAGGGGAAAGATGGAGGGAGAGAGACAGAGGTAGAAAAATACTGATGTGAGAGAGATACTGTAATTTTAAATTTCTAATGAATAGCTCTCAAACGCTTGTATTCACCAGTCACCAGGGGAAAACAAATGCTCAAGGATGGGCGGTGGCTACATGCATGTGGAAAATGTGCCAGCCACTTTGAAGCTGCTGTAGAACTCAGGCCAGTGACAATAGAACCCATTAATGTGTGGGATGTGGTGTTCTTCATTCCTGGAACATTGTTTAAGATTGTAGACTATCTTGGATTTAAGTATGTAGACTATAGTTGTAGACATGTAATATTTATTAGTGGTGAAATTACTACAGCATTTTTTCCAACATGTAAAATTTGTTTAAAATAACATTGATTTAATTATAAAAAATAACCTTTATATTTTATTAAAATTAAATCTTGTTAAAAACATTTTAAAATTAACAGGATGTCAACTGATATAGGGACAGGAAATTTTATCCATTAAATCTAAAGTCAATTAGGTTGAGGTCCCTCAACTGCAAGTTTTACTCTAGTGAAAACCTGGGATAGATTTTCATATTATACTAATCCTTTAATAAGTGGTTGAGGTACTTAAACACTTTTCTGTATTTAATACTGACCAAAATATTCTCACTAACATTACTAATAAATATGGCACTATATTTTATTATAAGCTATCTTATAAGAGATACATTTTGTTCTTTAATTTTTTTGTAGGCAATAAACAAGTTCAACAGCCATCCACTGAATCACAGTGTTTAGTAAACCAATGAATTGGTGGAAATGTTTTGTGATCCACCTTTTTAAGTATCACCATGCCATGGCCCAGGTTGGAGGAAGGATGGTATTTGAACTAGTCAATTCTGTCTTGCTCCCTTTTGACTGTTCTGATTGTGTTATATTTTTAAGAAAGTATGCTGACATAGTCTACAACATTTCAAAGAAACATCCACAAGAAATGGAAACACAGTATGTCCTGTTGTATGCTTCACATTTTCAGAATTCATTGTCTGTATGTTTCTGTGAATCTCTAAAATATGCTGACCTACCTATTCATTGCTGTTCTATATGATCAAATGTTTCCTTTATGTATATAAATGCACTTTTATTTCACTCTTGCTTATTTTGTAATATGCCAAATACAAATACCTTGTAAAATAAAAAGGGGAATAGCTATTTTGTTTTCTTTGGTTCAGCAATAGAGCACTGCCATTAGGTCCTAATTTGTCTTTCATACTCACTCTTTTCTGCAGTGAAGAACTTTACAGAAAATGCTTCTAAGATTTGGATGTGGAATCTAATTTACCAAAATAAATAGATGGACAGAGTGGTTCCAGAGACATAGAAGCCTAAGAAATAGTGTGAAATCTTAGAGGAAAGACAGGGGAGGGTGGTGGGTGGGAGGTGATCAAACAAAGAACTAGTAGGCATATATGCATAAGCCATGGACATAGACAATAGGGTGATGAAGGCCTGGGGCAGGGGGCAGGGTTGGGCTGGAGGGGATCAATGGGGAATAAAATGGGACATATTTAATACTTTCAACAATAAAGATGACAAAAGGAAACCATGGTGGCAATGACAGTCACACATATCCTGGGTTGCCTTTCCCCTTTGTGACCTCTCACCAGGGCCCTGGTTGCTGGGAGTAGGGCTTTCCTGAGCTCCCCTGTTTTTGAGGACTGGTTTCCTGGTTTGCACCTGGGAAGCTCCAAATAGTGTCTGGGAAGGAGAGAATTCTCCAGGCACCTACTGGTTCCTGCTCTTCACCTCAGGCAGGCTCAGTAGCCTCCTGGGCATTTCTCCCCTCATGCGCTGGTGTCCTGGCAGCTGCACTTTTCTGTGCTGTGGCAGCCCAGGGGGACTAGCCTTAGCCCAAGGCTGTGTGGTGGAAACACAGACCTCCACTCAGAAGCCTCCACATTCACTGATGTCTGCCCCTCTTCTGCACTGAGCTGCTCTTTCCTGTCCACATGAGGCCATAATCACCATCAACTTCCCAAGGCTTCCTTGCCATCTTACTGGGTTCTTCATATCAGTGCTTTGCCATTGGCTGAGGTATCTCCAGGGTTGGAATAGAGGAGGAACCCTGAGCCACACTCTTTCTCAGGCTTCTAAGTCTCTGGAACCACTCTGTCCATCTGTTTATTTTGGTAAATTAGATCCCACCTATGAGTGAGACCATGTGATTATTTGTGTTCCCTGAATGGCTTATTTTTCTTTGTATATCATTCTCCAGTACTCTCCTGGCTGTGTCAAAGGGTAAGAGATCCTTCTTTTTTACTTCTGCCTAGTATTCCATGGTATAAATGTGCTGAAGCTTTTTTATCCACTCATTTACTGATGGAAACTTAGCTATTGTAAGTTGTGCTGCTATAAACATAGGTGCATACAGTCTCTCTGGTTTCTGGTTTTTTAGAATATATTCCTTGAAGTCAGATCACTGGGTCAAATGGCAATTCCATATTTAATTGCAATATTCATGAAAACAGGACAGCCAGTGTATTTTCTCAAAAATCTTTATTTATTCTAAAATATTTATCAATATAGTCAGAAAGGAGAAGATTATTTTTAAATATATTTTTATTTATTATTTATAAATTTCAGACAGGAATGGAGAAGGAGAGGGAGAGAGGAAGGGTGGGAGGGAGAGTGAGAGTGAGAATGAGAGTGAGAAGGAGAATGAGAGGGAGAGTGAGGAGAGAGAGAGGAAGAGTGAGGAGAGAGAGAGGGAGAGGGAGAGGGAGAAAGAAACATCAATGATGAGAGACTCATTGATTGGCTGCCTCCTGAAAGGCCCGCAATGGAGATCCAGCTAACAACCTCATCATGGGCCTGACCAGTAACTGAACCCTGACCTCTTGCTTCATATGTTCAACCACTGAGCCACACCGGCCAGGTAAAATAAATCTCACTTTCTAAAAAGTTTTGAAAATAAATGATAAATCCATCAAAGCCACATACATAATAAAGAGGTGAAGTACCTGCCCCTTTATTCAATGTACAGCATTGTAAGTGAATATAAGGTTTACTGACCAGCAAATTATCACAAAATCAATTCTGGTATAATTATCTCAGACATTCCTCAACATGTTGCATATCATCTATGGGAGCATAAACAGAAAGAAGTTTCATTTTTCAGCAAAAATCAAATAATTCTGTGAGAGGCCACACTGCTATAGTGCTGCTACATGGTGCTGTCCCTTACAGGGACTTGTCCAAGAATCACTTACAGTACTGTTCCCTGGATTTATGATTATGTCACACAGAATTTTAAAATTCCATAATCTTGCGATCTCATTATTACCTAAATAATAAATAACTAGCCTGGCTGGTGTGATTGAGTGGTTGAGCTTTGACCCATGAACCAATAGGTCAGTGTTTGATTCCAGGTCATGGCACCTGCCTGGCATTAAGGTTTGATCCCTGGTAGAGGGCTTATAAGAAGCAGCTGATCAAAGATTCTCTTTTATCATTGATGTGTCTATTTCTCTAGCTCTCTCTTTCTTCCTTTCTCTGAAATTAATAAGAAAACATATTCAAAAAAATAAATATAGTAAGTCAACATAGGATATCAAATGAGAAAGGACTCTCAGGTTCAGTTATCTGCTCTTTGTTTTCTTCTTCAGTTGTACAAAGATTTCTCTTCCTTATTTGAGCTTTTATGATTTATTTTTTCT